GAGCCTTCTCTTCTCCAGGCTGAACAGCCCCAACTCTCTCAGCCTGTCCTCACAGCAGAGCTGCTCCAGCCCTTTTTCTTTTGGTGACACATTTTTGGTGACACATTCTGTGTTTTCTCTTGTTTATCTGAGAAATCACTGACACACATTACACAAGTCTCTTCCAATAGTAATTTTCCTTGGGGAAAAGAGCCAGCTGCAAACTGGGCAGCGATGTTGTTGGCACACCTGGTGCACGTGATTTTTTTTTTAAATGCCTTTAAAAGAATTTAAATATTTAAACTGAAGTATGGCATGTGACTTCTGGGGCATGTTAGCAGTCTGAAATGTACACAGCTTGTTTCTTGCACAAGGGTGAGGGAAAGGTGTAAGGGTTGTTTTAAATGGCACTGAAGAAAAGCCAATTTAAATGAGCCAATTGTGGTTAGTACAGAACCTTCTGCCTAATTCTCCTCCACCAGTGGATATTCTGATTTCACTTTAAGCATTGACAATTAAGAGTTGGCAATTCAGCAGCTGAGCTAAATCCATCTAGATACATTGGATTTACTCTTGGGTTTGGAGTGTTTAAGTAGGTGGGAGTTTGCCAAGCAACTTGAGAAGTGAGAAATTAGTTTTTTAACTGTTCTGACACATTACTGTTTCCAGGGCTTTTAATTCATTTCATATGTAAAGCTTTAGACTAAAGTTTACATCAAAAGATAAAGGTTTTAGAAAAAAATTACTGGTGATTTCCTTTATATATAGTTTACCAATATTCCAGGAACTCTAAGGCTTTTTAAAATCAGGAGACAGATTTTGAAGTTCTTGTAGTACTGGAATGAAAAGATATTCTAACAAGGAGTTGTAGCTGTAAGATCAGGAAGGCATTGATCCTGGGAAAAACACTGTCTAGTTAGAAGACTACTTTTATTGAAAGGAAAATGTGTAACTAGTTTGATATAACTTTAAGGGCAAATAAAAGGGCAAATAAAAACATTACAGACACAGTCTGAAATCGCTAGTAGGCTCTGAAGAGCAGCAGGGAGGATGATTGAGAGAAGAAAGGAGACTTATTCTTTCAATGGTTTTAAAAAGATGCCTTGTGTCTCCTTCCTATCTCGAGTCTTAGACACAAAACTATGTCTTTAGTGGATTTTTTTTCTGCTTTACTTCATCTGTCACTAACACAACCTGATCCTGCTAACTGCTTCTATGTCGGTGTGGGCCTGAAGGGGTGAAGTGAGCATGTGAACTGATCCTGGGGCGAAAGCTTTGACTTCTGCTCTTCCCTAGTTAAGGATGCAGTGACCTGTTTGATGCATGTGGTGGGTTTGTAGCCGAGTTGTTTGATCTGATACAGACAGAGCTGTGGTACAGGGGAGTGTTCAATTGTAAATGAGAGGAATTAATACAGTTTGATTAAAAAGGCTTTTGAGTCGAGGCCTTGGCAGGTGTTAACTTTCAACATTCATAGGCTGATATGTTGCGCTTTTTCATTTTTTTGATTTGTCCCAGCATTTTCCTTTATGGTCCATCATTAGATATTGATCAGTTGAAGCTCATTTTGAGACTCGTTGGAACCCCAGGGCCTGAGCTTTTGAAGAAAATCTCCTCAGAGTCTGTGAGTTTACACTTTGATTGTAATATCTGCCCCTTTGGAAGTCCCGAGTTTGTGTGTTGCCCTCCTGTAGTCTCTCTCTAGTATGTGTTGGGATTTATGTTCTATTATTTTTCTTTGTTTGTCATTCTTTGCTCTTGGATGGCTTTGAGTTCTTATGCTGTGTGTATCTGATCTTTATTCCTCTTACCTCTGCCTGTGGTATGATTTCTTTCTTCCATGTTCTCATTTTACTGCTTCGTGACTTTTCTTTCAGTTTGTGGGTTTATACTTCGTGATATATTGTATGATCAGATGCTGCCAGGGAAGTATTTTTCACAGCTAAGAGCTTGAGGCTTGTCTCAATTATTATTTCTCCAGATTGCCTACCCAAGGATTTTTCCTGAACAGGAGCAAGCGTGTTGTCCTCTAAACACACACGGTCCCTTCTGTAGTATGATTAATTTCTGAAACACTACTGCCATCATTTTTGGTTTTGTAGCATCAAATCCAAAATGCCTTTTAGGTGCTTTTATGTGGCAGGGCACACAGTATATAGTCTGCTGAGAATGTAACTGCTTGTGCTCTGTATTTAAAGGGTACTGCTGTCTGGGGCCCTTTTACTGAGGTAATACCAAAAAGCTTTCTGCACCTTCCTTTTTGAAGGGTGGCCTCTATTTTCTACCATACTGCCATTTCTAAATTGTTCTAATCTTGAATTGTGAACTTCTGCAAAGACAATATTAAATGGCAATTTAATGTAACCTGTTTTGAAAGGTGAAGTGCATAAAAGTGAGAGTGAGAGATGCTGTAACAGTGCAGATAACAGGTTTTAATGCATAGGGAGCAATGAGCTTTGCATAGAGGTAACTAGCAGCGTGCTTTAGCAAGTCACTCTGCTGCTTCTGGTACATGATAGAGGATCCATGAGGTGGAGAGTGATGATAAGATTATTTTATCTTGCAGCTTATGTTCTTTTTCATGTAACAGTGATGCAAAATGTGAAGTTAGCCTTGAATTACATTTGATTAAGGTAGATGTGTGGTGCTAGTTAAAATCAATTGGTCAACTTGCTGAATATCACACCAATTTAAAAAGCCCTGAGATGTTCTACCCTTGGATAGGTTAGAACTGAATAATGGAGTGTGGTGGTTTCACTGGGCTGCAGCCAAACACTGCTGCAGTCCCCCAACCACAGGGGACAGGGAGTAGAATTGGGGGGCAAGGGGAAGGAGACTTGT